GGCTGAGCTCCTGAAGGCACAGTCTGCGGGATTCTGTGATATCCACAAGCACAATTTTTGCCTGCACCAACTCATCATCAATGCTGTCAAGACGCTCCTTTTTAAAATCCACGTGTCTCTGAAAGAAAGACAGCCTTGTGGGTTAAGCATGTTCCTTATTTATCTATGATAAAAATGTACTTATGATGGCAAAATATGATGACTTACAGTATTAAGCAACTTCTCCAAGACTTGAAAGTCTCCTTGTAGGCAAAGCGTCTCTTTGACCATCATGACCACCTCAGCTGACTGTATTGCCAGATAAAGCTCATGGTACTGCTCAATCTGATGGACTCTTGTCTGGACCCAACGTCGGTCATCACTGTGATCCAGTCTGCATAAGATTGCAACTTCTGCTGCCAGTTCTTCATATTTTCCCTTGTAGGCTCTGAATGTCACATCAATATTTTCAAAAGTGATGCTGCCATCTTTAAGCCCTGTGTATATGTTTTTGTAGGCATTGTGGCATGGTTTAAATATTTCACTGTGAAGCTTTTTGAGTGTGATAGCCATATCGCCTTCTGAAGAAACTGCTCCATAATCTTGAGCAAACTTTGTTGCCTCATTCATCCAACACATTCTGAAGATGTAGCCTTCTTTGAAGGTATATAGGACCTCTGCCATAGATCGAACATCATCTTCAAGCTCAAAGTAGTTGACTACTCTTACTGCAGAGGGAATCTGATTTAATAAATGGACATCCACAAACATGTCCAGGTCCGTCTCATCAATGTCATTACGGCGTTTGTCTTCCAACCCTTCAAAATCAACTGTACAATAGAAATGTAGTATTAAAATCTCTTTATAAAAGCAATCTTTTATTGTCAGCTGTTCAAAATAAAGCTTATACCCCTCGGATGTTTCTGTAGATTGCGGCACACTGTAATGAGAGCATCAACCACTGATTTCTCATGATATATAGCATTCACTTCCTCTTGTCTACATTCAAGAAGCCTGTTCATGGCTTTGGTGTCCCTGTATTGTTCATTGTCACAAAAACAATCTGGAAGAAACAGTAAGGTCATGACTCCTCAAATTACAGTATGTAACAGGAAGAAATTTTATATATAAAAGTATTTTACCTAAATTAAGCAAGTCAAAGAAAGCACTCTTGTTTTCCAGGATGTGGTTGAGTAGCTTAATTTTTATTTTCCCTGATACAAGTTGGTTTAAAATATTTGTGAATGATGATATTGCCATGGTAAATTTC